TTCACTGATCCAACATTTCCTGAGTGGTTACAGGAAGGCACGGAGTTTGGCACTGTGAGAAATACAAGGACGAATTAAACAAATCCTCAGCCCTCCAGGGAGTAACAGTCTGAAGAAAACACAGCTTTGCAGGCTATAAATGGAGAACATTAGAAGTGCTATAGGAGTGGTCTAAATGAAATGCTACGTGAATTCCAAAGACGAAGAAATGATTCCCAAGTAGGAATTTGAGGAAGATGACAGGGAGTAGACATTTGAAATAAAGGGTATGCAGGATCTGGGTATCCACTGATTAGAGAAGAAAGATAGTCTAAGTGAGGGTCAAATATATAAAAAGACAGAAACTTTGGGAAGTAAAGGGAGAATAGAGGGGGCAGTGAGTACCTAAGGGTTTTGGGAGGGGACTCCCAGGTTATGTGAAGGAGTTTAGGAGGAAGGAGAGGGAAGTCAAATCACAGAGGGGGCTCAAATGGGAGTTTAAAAAGCTTATATGGTTTATGGAATATGGGACATAAGAAAAGGTAGAACACAGAGTATCTTAAAAGAGTTCTAAAGTCAATGATAAGAGGAAAGGAAAATTGGGTTCATAATTAGAGAAGAGATAATTCATTTAGGCCTAGAAAGAATGATATGGATCTGATAGGCTGTTCCGGATAATATAAACTGATGAAAGCCATGATTCAAACCAGTTCAGCCACTCATTGGTTGGTACCCTTCCTGGGAGATAGCCCAAACCTGAGGAACTAAGCCTTTAACACACACGCACGCATAAACACACACACACAATCACATGTATCTCCCTCCCACCCTACACACATCATTTTGGTAGGATACTTTTATTGCTGGATTTTTTTTCTAAGTATAAAATTAATAGATGTTCAGTGCTGAAAATCTAGTCTTTTCATTGCTGTTAATTTTAATATTGACATAATGACCCATAGTATGAATGTACTAACACTGATAGTTGCAATTCTATACTGAGAGCCAGTGTTCCTAGAAACTAGCTGTCCAAGACCAGTATGATCAGCCCAAAGATGATATTGGTCTTTCCAAGAATCATTTGGGGCTCTACTCCTAAAGGTCAAAGGAGACTGCTTCTAGACTATCTCCAGACCTTCCCTGGAATATATGAGTTAAAGAAGCCCAAAGCAATCTCTCAGGAATCAAAACAGAAACAAAACTGAACATAGTAAACATTAATACAGACTGTTAGTTGGATACTTGTCACATAGGGGTGCACAGGTTTAGGCACATTCATGAACAAATTTATTTTTATCAGGGAATAATTAGGCTAATTTCAACCTAATGAGTTTGAATGGACTAGAATTAAACTCAGAAAATCACTAAGTCAAATTTTGTTGGGCTTTGTATTAGAACAGCTTTAAGTACAGGTTGAGAGCATGAGCTTTAAACACAATCAGAACTGATATGAGCCTCAGCTATGAACTACTGTAACTGTGTGACCTTGGGAAAGCTGCTTAACTCTTCAAAGATTTAAGAAAATAAGGATAATACCTGTGATAATTAAATAGAAAAATTAATATATGAAAGACTGTCCTTAAATGGCAGTTTATTAATAATGGGCAATTATCATGGTGCCTACTTATACAGAAAGATGTCTTTAAAAAATTAGTGCTTTCCATTTACTTTTTAAAATGATAAATATATACATGCTCATTAAAGAAAATTTAGAAAATACTAATAAATAATAATTTTACTTCCATAGTCCAGAAATCACTAAGTTTATGAATTTTCAAAAGCATCTTTAGTACCTGGCCCTATTTTTTTTTAATGCATCACTTTTTTTTTTAATGGGAAGTAAAATATATGTTATGTTTCTATAATAGAATAATGAACACCCGAAGTTTCATTTTCTGATTTCTTCCCCTTAGGCTGAGAAAAAGCAAAGCAAACAAGGTATGGTGCTATCCTGAATGCTCTACAACGTATCATATTTATTTATTTATTTATTTATTTATTTAAGATTTTATTTATTTATTTGAGAGAGAGAGAGAGAGAATGAGAGATAGAAAGCACGAGAGGGAAGAGGGTCAGAGGGAGAAGCAGACTCCCTGCTGATCAGGGAGCCTGATGTGGGACTTGATCCTGGGACTCCAGGATCATGACCTGAGCCGAAGGCAAGTCGCTTAACCAACTGAGCCACCCAGGCGCCCTACAACGTATCATATTTAATCTTTTTTTTTTTTTTTTTAGAGACCAAGAGAGAGCACACGGGGGCGGGGCAGAGGGAGAGAGGAGAGAGAATCTGCGATCATGACCTGAGCTGCAATCAAGAGTCAAGACACTTAACAGACTGAACCACCCAGGCACCCCTCATATTTACTCTTTAAAGCTCATCTCCATCAGTGTTTTATAATTCCCCTCAAATCCATGATCTCTTTGTCCTGTGAGAGCCCTGATATCATGGGGTTTAGATTTCTCATATCGCACTTTTCACACTGAATCGTACTTCTTTTCTTAGCAGCCATTTGCCGCCCCCCCCTGCCCTTCCCCTTGTTCTATCTTCTAGAGCTGGGGCTTCTAACCTAAGAACTGTGGGCTTCCTGAAATGACACATTAAAATAGTATTTCTGTAGATACAAATACATCTCCCTGGGGAGAACCCATATATTAATCAATCTCAAAAAAGTTCTGAGTATCACAGAACTCTGGTCTAGGGAAAATAACTGTGACTTAATTACCCCTGGATCTTCTATAGTGCTTAGCATCTATATTTATATGAATAAATATTTGTTGATCTAAAATTTTATTATTGAAGCATAAAGTCAATACTGAATATGTAAAATTTATCTATCCTTTAAAATATATTTTCCTCATATATTTTTCTCATTCCTCATTTCCTCATCTTAACATAAAAAATACTGTTTCTGAAAGAATGGTGGTTATCAGGATTTAGCAAGAAGAGGAAATGAAGAGTTATTGTTTAACAGATAGAGTTTCAGTTTGGGAAGATGAGAAAGTTCTGGAGTTGGATGGTGGTGATGGTTGCACAACAATATGAATGTACTCAATACTACTGAACTGTTATGTTTTACCACCACTACAACAAAAAAATGCTGCTTTTTATTATCATATGATATTAATGACCTATTTATTACAGGGCAGACTCTTCATCAAAGGAAAGGAATAAAGAAATATTACTGGTTAAATTTTAGCATATAAGAAAGAAGCAAATCTTTTTTTTTTTTAAATATGTGATATATCTTTTGCCTTGAGTGTTTTTATTTATTTATTTATTTTGACAGAGAGAGACACAGCGAGAGAGGGAACACAAGCAGGGGGAGTGGGAGAGGGAGAAGCAGGCTCCCCGCCGAGCAGGGAGCCCGATGCGGGGCTCGATCCCAGGACCTCGGGCCCATGACCTGAGCCGAAGGCAGATGCTCAACTGACTGAGCCACCCAGGTGCCCCGAAAGAAGCAAATCTTAACCTCAATCTATACATTGTTGGTTTTAGAGTATAAGCACAAATAAAAATAGGGTGATATAATCATAAATCCTATCCAAATAGTGGGGCTGTTATCTGACTAAATAAAGGTAAATTGCTTGGGGCTATCAGTTTATCTGTGTGAAGTAAATTTCACTTTTTCAATGTACCAAGTCACAATTCAGGGAACAGATGATAATTTAGCCCAATTCTATCAATATATTATACACATAAATAATGTAAGCATTTTGGAAGTCTGCAACAGGCATTTCAAGGTGCCAGGAGCACATTTTATTCAATAAACTTTTAGTGAGTATTCTTAGGATTCAGAGATACACAAGTCTGAAAACTACTTAAAAAAACCAAAAGCAGACTATCTAGTACACTGATTACAAAAACGATGTATTCAACTACTTTCCTATGTCATTTCAATTTACTCCCATCTCATACTTTCCAGCTTGCTTCACCAAAGAAAAAGTCTCAAACTCAAATAAGGTAACAAATATATTTAAATATCTAAAATATTCATGTTACTGCCCTTTGGGGCAGCCTGAAAAAAAAATCATTTTCATGATGCTATATTGATATTTCCAATCAATGTGTATAATTTATCAAAAATCTAGATTCTAAACCTTTTGATGATTAAATGTCAGTAATATTTCTTGGTTATTTATTACCCATAGATAACTGATTTGTAATGACATTTTAAAATTCCATTACTGGGGCGCCTGGGTGGCTCAGTCGGTAAACGTCTGCCTTTGGCTCGGGTCATGATCCCAGGGTCCTGGGACTGAGCCCCGCATTGGGCTCCCTGCTCAGCGGGAAGCCTGCTTCTCCCTCTCCCACTCCCCCTGCTTGTGTTCCCTCTCTCGCTGTGTCTCCCTCTGTCAAATAAATAAATAAAATCTTAAAAAAAAATTCCATTATTTCCCCAAAGTCCTTATATATAAGAGAGATTTACAATTATTTCTCCACTGGAATTTAGGAAAATCCTTGGAAACAGATTCAACACAAAAGCTAACTACTGATATTTAAATTCTGTATCACAGAAAAGATATCTACTACCATAATGAAGTATTGTGTAGTTGATGTAAGCTCATATGTTTATTGCCCTCTTAAGGTTAACATTAAATAATCAGCTGAATATAAAATTTTCCCATACTCATATTTACCAAAAAGCCAAATTTTCCTAATATTTACTTATATTCAGTATTTACTGAATAAATATTTACTGAGTGCCTTCCATGTAGCAGTCACTGCAGGTGACTGTGAACCAAACAGCCATGTTCTACCTAAACAATATTTAAGTGTTATTGTTTTTCTAGAACACAGATTTATATCACCACCTTTTCAAAATGTCTTTACGTTTTTGTAAACACACTCAGTCTGGTAATATTTTGAAAATTTTAATTTATGAATCTGATCCCTAAATAAAAATTTATAAATAACGGTTTTGTAAGACATAAAAATGTTTGCCTGTCATAGAGTTTGTTTTTCTATATGGCAATAGCAAAATAACAAAGACAGCACAAATTACTTTAAAGTTTAAGATTACCTGAAATGGGAATATGCTGTGAGACTGATATCTGCACATCTCCAGTTCCTGGTGGCATGTCAACAACTAAATAGTCGAGTTGGCCCCAATCTACCTACAAACCAAGATGACACAAATAACATCACTGTATAACAATTACAGTGAATAGTGATATAAATAAAAATAAGTGTGTTAATAACAAAATCCAAAATAACAGCTTTCACTTAAGCCATTACTGTCAGGGACTGTGCTGAAGACTAAGGATAAGTGAATAAGTAAGAGACACTTTCTGGCTCCAGCAGACCTTCTTTGAATGAAATGGTTAAATTTCTGAATGACCACTCCTCTCTTGCCCCAACTCCCAACACATACACACACAAAACACACACACACACACGCTAAAGGTGAACCCATTCCACAGTGGGCTTCTATGCAGAACAATACTTTATTTTCTTTAAATTTTTTTATTGTTATGTTAATCACCATACATTACATCATTAGTTTTTGATGTAGTGTTCCATAATTCACTGTTTGTGCATAAAACCTAGTGCTCCACGCAGAACATGCCCTCTTTAATACCCATCACCAGGCTAACCCATCCTCCCACCCCCCTTCCCTCTAGAACCCTCAGTTTGTTTTTCAGAGTCCATCATCTCTCATGGTTCATCTCCCCCACCGATTTACTCCCCTTCATTCTTCCCCTCCTGCTATCTTCTTCTTCTTTTTTTTTTCTTAACATATATTGCATTATTTGTTTCAGAGGTACAGATCTGTGATTCAACAGTCTTGCACAATTCACAGCACTTACCATAGCACATACCCTCCCCAATGTCTATCACCCAGCCACCCCGTCCCTCCCGCCCCCCCACCATTCCAGCAACCCTGTTTGTTTCCTGAGATAAAGAATTCCTCATATCAATGAGGTCATATGATACATGTCTTTCTCTGATTGACTTATTTCGCTCAGCATAACACCCTCCAGTTCATCCACGTCGTTGCAAATGGCAAGATCCCATTCCTTTTGATGGTTGTATAATATTCCATTGTGTATATATACCACATCTGAATGCCGATGATATGATACTTTATGTGGAAAATCCAAAAGACTCCACCCCAAAACTGCTAGAACTCATACAGGAATTCAGTGAAGTGGCAGGATATAAAATCAATGCACAGAAATCAGTGGCATTCCTATACACCAACAACAAGACAGAAGGGAGACAAATTAAGGAGTTGATCCCATTTACAATTGCACCCAAAATCATAAGATACCTAGGAATAAATCTAACCAAAGAGGCAAAGGATCTGTACTCAGAAAACTATAAAATACTCAATACTTTATTTTCATTGGGAATAGCCTAGGAAGGCTTTAGCTTTGTGTCCTTGGGTTTTTTTGGTAAAGCATTTCCTATGGCAGACCCTAATATAATTTTTAAAAGTTTATTACTTTTCCTTCATAAAACACATCAATAATGATAACCAAAGCTTATTAAGAAAAATTTAGAAACATAACTAGACTTCTAATACTATTAACATTTTGATTATTTTGATTATTTCTTTCCAGGCTTCTCAGTATCTATACCTAGAAAATTCAGCTATATTACCAAGTTCTTAAGGCTCAGCCTTAAGGCTCAGGCTCAATTTAGATAGGTCTTAAGGGTTCCTCAGACTCTTTTCTCCTTAGATGACTCCTCCCTCTGAGTACACAGTCTCAGTGAATAGCCCTATGTTCTTCTCATTTGCCTAAGGTGGAAGCTTGGAATCATACTGAACTCTTCCCTTTCCCTCACTAGCCCCAATCACTTATTTGGCCTTCTAAAAATCTCTCAAGTGTATCTACTTCTCTCTGCCCATTGCCAAGAACCCAATGGAGACCACAACCATCTATCACGAAAGCCTCCCACCAAACAGTCTCTCTGCTTTGACACTGCCCATTGTCTATTCCTTTTTTTTTTTAAGATTTTATTTATTTATTTGACAGAGAGAGACACAGTGAGAGAGGGAACACAAGCAGGGGGAGTGGGAGAGGGAGAAGCAGGCTTCCTGGTGAGCAGGGAGCCTGACGCGGGACTTGATCCCAGGACCCTGGGATCATGACCTGAGCCGAAGGCAGACGCTTAACAACTGAGCCACCCAGGTGCCCTATCCAGTCTATTCCTAACACCACTGAAAAATGGTCCATCTAAAATGCAAGTCTGATAGTGCCACTTTTTTGTTTAAAATTCTTCTATTGCTTTTAGGATAAAGTCTGAGCTTAAGCTCCAGAACACTCTGCCTGGTGGTCTTCACCTGCTAATTCATCCTCATTTTTCAGATCCCAGCTTGAAATTCACTTCCCTTAACTTCCATTAGATTAGATATGGTGTTCCTACTAGGAACTTCTCCTAATCATTCATTCATTCATTCCCCCACAGAATGTTTCCGTACCTACTACATATTAGGCATTAGCTAGGTACTGACAAGTAAATGGTACCATGGTCTCTAGCCGCACAGAATTTATAATATAGAAGGAGACAGATATTAAGCACATAATGAAATAACCTCTGCAAAGGAAAGAGGTTAGTAAATGTAAGCAAGTGAAAGAAAATCAACATAGCTAGAGAGCAATAATTCATTCATCTATTAACACATATATTTAACACATATTTATTGAGAATTGATTAGGTACCAGGCACTGTTCCAGGTGATGGGGATAGAGCAGTGGACAAAACAAAGTCCCAGCCATTCCACAGCCACTGTGGAAGGAGTGAGGGAGTCAGGCAGACAAACAGAAAGACAAATCAGAGGGTATAAAGTGCTATGAAGAAAACAAGTATCCTTTACTATACAAAATTACTTGGTTCCTAATTCAGATATACAGATCAAATAGCAAGAGATATTTTAAAAATCTCTTTAATTTCTGAATTTGATAGCAAGTAGTAAGAGTTCAGATAGCAAAGGATTTATCAAAAAATTTCTTTTTTAAAGATTTTGTTATTTATTTGAGAGAGAGAGAGCGAGAGCACAAGCAGGGGGAGGGGCAGAGGGACAAGCAGAATCCCTGCTGAGCAGGGAACCCGACAACACGGGGCTCCATCCCAGGACCCTGAGATCATGACAAGAGCTGAAGGCAGATGCTTAACTGACTGAGCCACCCAAGTGCCCCAAGAATTTCTTTTAATCTCTTTGATTCCCAAAATCAAATGGTAAAGATATGCTTGACCAGTAGGGAAAAAGAACAGAATGGTAGAAGATACTACTTTTTTAAACTGAGTGAAGTCAGAAAATAACTGAAGCAGTAGACTGAAGGAAAAAAGCTTTCCAGGAAGAAGCAATTGCAAGTGCAAAAAAGGTTCTAACCAGTGGGGATCTGCTTGGCAAATTCGAGGAATAGCTAGGAAGTCAGTACAGCATTTCTAAAACAGCACCCCCACCCCAAACATCAATCTCTCTCCTCTGACTTTGTTTTTCTTCAAAACATTTACCAGTACCTGACATTATATATTTACTTGTCTTTTAGGAATTTTATGATATTTCTCAAACACAAGTATTTGATACTGATTGAATGACACATTTTAAAACAATGATGAAATGATGAACATAAAGCAGTTTATTTTCAATTTAGGGTTCCTTGGTTTGAAAAATAGTTACCCCAAACCTACCCAGGGCCATCATCTATGAAACTATCTACAAAAAATATTAAGGATACTTTTCATTTTATATCCTCTGCACTGAAACCCTTAGCACTGGCAGACTGACAAGTCTCTTTGTTTCAGAGAACATCAAATGATTTTGCCAACAATTTATCATTGTTGTTCCCTGGCACTTAATCATATTTTTCACAGTGGCTCCAACTTTTTATTTCTTTAAAGAGAACTACTATTAGAGTTCCGAGGAACTAAAAATACTTCACTGTTAAGACAATTTCAAATGACTCTTAAATTGCATTTAAACTAAAAAATGATTCTGGCCCAGCACCTTGATCACACACAGTAGGCATTCCACAGAGGCATGCCGACTTGAACTAAAGTAAGTATGTGAATTCTAGTCTTACAGCAGTCACTAATACTAACACTGCAATATACTGGCTGCCAGCAAGTTCCAGTTCTCTTGTAAAAGAGTCAGCAAAGCATTGATTTTAGAGTCATTTGGGTATTCTCTAGATTCTACTTAGTTTGTTTATTCTTCTAAGTTGTGTGTTAGTAAATGCAGGTAAATAAGTACTAGCAAAACACTCAGGTACCTCATTTAGTAAAAACCAGTGGCAGATCCCACTGGGATTTTGTGTGGCCTAAAGATATACAGTTTGTGTGATCCTTTCTAAGAATAAGAACACAAAATTATGAAGGCACAATTTGGTACAAAAGTAAATATTTATTTAGAATGTGACAAGAAATCACCCTAAAACGCTGAAGCTGTAGAGATTCAAGTTCCTTTCTCTGAGATCTCTTGAGCAACATAAATGTTTACATAGAAATGCTTCCTGACTGCAACCTGCTTCCTCTCTCCACCTGGAACATTCTACAACTTCCAGAATCCCACAGGAAACCAAGTGAGCATGGAACCTGGAATTTAAACTTCATTAGCCTCATGGTAACCTCACCTCCGGTAAAACCCTCTCAGGCTCCAGACTAAAAGGATCCCATCAGGACAGAGTAAATCAGTCTAGAAGTAGAGTTACCAAGGTAGTTCAGAGATGCCCTATGGATGAAGAGGCGGCACTACAGCCAAATTCAGCAATGTGGTTAGGGAGTCAAACATGTGCATCAAATCTGAAGTGGGAAGTGCCTGGGTGGCTCAGTCGGTTAGGCTTCCAACACTTGGTTTTCGTTCAGGTCATGATCTCAGGGTCATGGGACTGGGGCTCAGCAATGAGTCTGCTCGAGCTTCTTTCTCCTCCCTCTCCCTTCCCCTCTGCTTCTTCCCCTGCTCGTGCTTAAGTGCACTCTCTTTCTCTCTCTAAAACAAATAAATGAATGAATGAATGAATAAATAAATAAATAAAATCTTTAAAAAATAATCTGAAAGGGAACATAAACAGCATAATGGGAGGATCAAAAACAATGCCAGTGGTCAGAAGGATAGGGTGAGGTACAGATCAGGGGTAACAGTTCAGACCTGAGTCAGCTGAGAGAG